TAAAATATGTGTTAGGAATTTTCGTATAATCTTTCTGAAAGATCTTTTATGTTTAATTATAATTTCTATTTCTTTTGTTAAAGTTCATTTTTTTTTTGGAAATAGTATTTTGGTGTTGATTTGTCTGCTGCTTGAAGAATACTGTAACTAATTAAAATACTGAATAGATTCAAATATTCTTTATTTTCCACAAATTTACAACTTTGGTAGACAGAGCTTGAACTTTAGCATTTAAACTTTGATGACTTTCGGTAATGTATATCTTAAATAAGTTTATGCAAATATTTTTATGGATATCCAGCTTTAAGAACTTAACCATTCTATATAATGTAACTTTGGTGTTTCATGAAATACTACCGAAAGTATTGGACTTGCAGTTATAAGTTTGTATGAATAACATAGCATGCAATTTAAACCAAGCTCGTGTGAATAAAAGTTAGAGAACTCAAATTGTTTTGATTTTAGTGAATTTTTGCAGTATATTTGATTCAAAAGGATAAGGCAAGTACTGGACAAATATATTGTGTACTGTATCGTAATATATCTAAAGATATCGCTCTATTTATTGAAACGCATTTCTCATGTTTGTTTGTTTTTTATACAAAATGGGTCATGTTGGTAAAACAAGTGAAATTTACTGAAAGGCATATCATATAAGTTATAGCATTAGTCATCGTTTTAGTGTTTAGCTGGTCATTGAAATATCTAGATAATGACGGTGGGTTACATTTTCTGATCTTAATTAAGTAAACTGAATCCAATCTGATAAAACTTACACTGGTTTCTGGTGACGAACGATAGATGCCACTAGCTGTTACTATTTCAATTTACACAGTACTAATAGTAAATTCAACGTTGAAATCCACACAGACGATTAGTCGCACATTATAAGAACAACTTGCTTTTGTTAAGCTACAGATAGAATCGTGACGCTATGGGTAACAAGTTTAGCACTTATATACTTGGTTCCAGGTTAATTCCCGACCACTCAATAGTGCAATGTCGCTAAGGTATATGTCAAAACCATTTCCAACTATGAATATTGGTATGATAAAATCTTTAAGTGATGTACAGCCAAATAACACAGCTTTTCTAAGCGTTCTTCATTTAAGCAGAAAAACTCATACATCAGAACGTGCAGGCCATCAACAAGCTCCGAAAGAACACTCGAAGTCAATCCACAACACCCATATACGCAAAGTAGGTACTATGGTTATGAAAGAGAGCTTTACAACCCAAAATAAGCCATTGTGATGAAACTGGAACTTATTCTACTATAGTTTACAAAAGAATAAGTTCACAAATGCTCATACGTTTCCAGCTACGCCTCGAAATTATCTACTGTTTTCATGAAAAAGATGACTGAAGAGACTGCACGGTAATCCCATTCCGCCATGTACCTTCAAGTCATCCACTGAAGCTTCAGTGGACTTTTGGAGCTTTTTTGGAGTTGACGTCCACGTACTGTAGAAAATCTTTGAAAAACAAATTATGAGGTATATAATCTTGGATTGACTTATTCTTATTCGTAGAAGCTTGGTAAAATGGAAATTGCTGTGCCAAACAATAGTTCATAATCATGGCCATCAGAATATATGCGCTTGACGACAGGAGAAGTAATGGCTAGTGTAACATGAAACCTGTTGTGACACATCGACAAAGCAAAATGGTGGTTATTGTATAATGTACAATATCTATAAATATTAAATATAGATATATCAAAGTTTTATTTCTGTTTATTTCTTGAAGTAAAATAATTAGTTGTTTATATTTTAGCGAAAAGATACACAATGGTCAACATGTACTCTATCCACCTCGGGGAACCAACCCCCGGATTTTAGTGTTGTAAACTTAGCGCTGACCCATCGGGGAACAATAACAATTCAAATATTTTAAGTTTGTGTTTCTTTCTATAAAACGGATTATGTCTAAATGACTAACACAAGCACCACAACAAGATACTATGAAAACAAGTTTTACTTTGTTGTTTAATACGTTTACCCCACTAATGTCTGTGTCTTCCAAAAGTTTTCGGAGTTTTAAATAAAAGTGACGTTTTCCAAGGTACAAATATCAAAGACGAAATATCGGAAACTACGAAAAATTCCTGGTACGTATTAACCCTCATGTGAAGAAATAACAATGAATACATTGGACATGCCTCGGTCAACTTTATAAAATGGATTTATATTTAGTATCTTTTACAATAAACCTAGTATCCTATAATGCATAAAGAATTTTGATATTCATAATTTTTAACCATCAACAACTTACATTTTAATACTCTATAGCATATTTTCTTGCCTCTCTCTTCTTAATACATCAACATATTGGCAGTATTCAAATTC